AAACTCCCCCCCCCCAAAAAAAAAAAAAAAAAGATCCTGAGAGGAAAATGGAGGAGAAGGGATTGCGGCGTGGCCATCACCCCTGGGGGGTAATTTCTCACTTTCTGTCTCTCTGTCTGGAGAGCACACGCACACTATGGCAAAAACCTCTAAAAAAAAATAATAATAAAGAGAGAGAGAGAGAGAAAAGGAAAGAGTCACTTTCTTATTTCTATAACTTTGGGAGAGGCCAGCAGGTAGCATGGTGGTTATGGTGCTGGATCGCACATGGGCCAGTCATGGTTTCAGTCCTGGACCCAGAATCTTGAAAATTATGCCAGGCTCACGTGTGCATGTGTGCACAAAATCCTGAGAAGAGAATGGAGGAGAAGGATTACAGAGTGGCCATTTCCCCTGGGGGGCAGTGATTTCTCACTGTCTCTTTCTCTCTCTAGTGAGTGCATGTACCCTATGACAAAAAAAAAACAAAACAAAACTTTTTTTTAAATTAGTTTTTACTATAGGGTGCATGTGTTTGCCAGAAAGACAGAGCGAGACAGAGATAGAAAGCGAGAAATCACCCCCCAGGGGAATGGCCATGCCAGAATCTCTTCTCCTCCATTCTCCTCTCAGGATCTTGGGCACGCACGCACACGCACCCAGCATGAGTTTAAGCCACTGGGTCTGGGACTCAAACCACAGTTGATTACATGGGAGTCCAGTGACATAGCCATTACACCAACTGCTGGTTCCTACAAAAAAATTCTTAAAAAAAGAAAAGATCTATAACTTTGAAATTAATAGTAAAAATAGGTGGTTCTCTTAGTTTTGAGACTCAAGAGTTAAAATTATGATATAGTACGAGTTACTTGGAATAAATACTAAAGTAAAAAAGTGTATTCATACAATAGAATGGATTCAGCAATAAAAAAGGATGAAGAATTGATAGATGCTACAACATGGATGAAGCTCAAAAACACTAAGTGAAAGAAGCCAGTCATCAAAGATCACACATCGTGCGGCCCCTTTTACATGAAATGTGCACAGGGGGAAAATCCATAGACAGGAGTGGGTCAGGGCCTGCCCTGCATGGGAGGGACAAAGGGGGAGTAGCTGCTAGTGGGTTTGTTTCAGGGGACAATGAAACGTTCTGACATTAAATTATGGTGATGGCTACACAACTCTGTAAATATGCTCAGGAACTATAGAACTGAACTATCTAGGGGCCTACAAGTGGTATGGTGGTCAAAGGGTACTGGACTTCCACATGGCTGACTGTGATTCAAGTCCTGGACCTGGTGGCTTGCTTTCTCACTTTCCCTATCTCTCTCTCTTGCTCTGTCCCTCTCTGGTAAAATTAAAAATAAATGAATAAATCAAGTTAAATAGAATAAATTTTTAAAAAATTGTACTATCTAGATGGGTGGACTTTGTCACATGTAAATTATGTGTCAGTAAAGCTTTTTTTAAATAGAGGTAAAGAGATTAATAAGTTAATATATCAAAATAGAAAAGATAGTTTAAAATATACACTTCCAGGGACCAGCAGTTAGCATAATGGCTATGTCGCTGGACTCCCATGTAGTCGACCACAGTTGGAGTCCTGGACCTGGTGGCTTAAACTCATGCCGGGCACATGTGTGTGCATGCCCAAGACCCTGAGAGGAAAATGGAGGAGAAGGGATTGCGGCATGGCCATCCCCCCCAGGAGGTGATTTCTCACTTTCTGTCTCTTTCTGTCTTTGTGGCGAGCACCTACAGCCAAAACCTCTCCAAAAATAGTGTACATTTCCAAAAAGCACCAGGACCAAATAATTTTACAGATTGGTCCTAACAAGTTTCTTATTGAGGAAAAAAAGTCGTCAGAATGTAAATCATTTTTTTTTCTTCTTCTCCAGTTTGCCAGAGGGCTTGTGCATTTGCCAGAGACAGACAGACAGACAAAAAGAGGCAAAAAGCAACCCCCACAGGGAATAGTCACACTGCAATTCTTTCTCCAGGTTTCCCTCTCTTCAGGATTTTGGACATGCATACACACGTGCCTGGTGTGTTTTTCGAATTGCCAGGTCTGGAACTCGAACCACTAGGTCGACCATGTGGGATCTAGCTCCCTTAGACAAAACGCCAAGGGCTGGCCTGGAAATGATCAATTTTTTGTTTTTTAAAGAATTATTTTATTTAACTTTATTTATTTATTTTAATTTGACCAGAGAGGGACAGAGCAAGAGAGAGTAAGAAAGGGAAAGTCAGAAAGCAAGCCACCAGGTCCAGGACTCAAACCATGGTCAGCCATGTGGGAATCCAGCGCCCTTAACCACTATGCCACCTGCTGGCCCCCAAATGACCAATTTTTAAATAAAGATTCACTTCATCGGAAAGTACTAGCAGGAGCTGGCCCATAACTTCGCCGTTACGGGAGACAGAGCCCAGTCAGCAGATTGCTTTCAAATCGTGTCCTGGTGGCTTGAAAAAGACACTCGGCAGGTGTGAAAGCATGCCCCAAATCCCAACACGATGGGGAAAGGAAGAAGGGATGTGCCACAACCACGCCACCCTGGAGAGTGCTTTCTCCCTTCCTCTCTTTCTCTGTGTCTCAGTCTCTGTTTTTCTCTAGCAAGCACACATGCCCTATGGTAATTTAAAATATATATATCTAGGAGAATCTGATCACAAGGACTCCAAAACTATGACTTATTATTTCAAGGTCTGAGTTTTGAAAATTAATCTTGGTGGGATCAGTGGATGGTGTAATGGTTACGTTGCTGGAATCCACATAGTCAACCACGGTGCGAGTCCCAGAACCAGTGGCTTAAAAGTCACACCAGGCGCATGTGCATGCGGGCCCAAGATCCTGAGAGGAGAATGAAGGAGAAGGGATTGCGGTGTGGCCATCGCCCCTGGGGGTTGATTTCTTGCTTTCAGTCTCTGTCTCTCTGCGAGTACACGCGTTCCATAGCAAAAATCTCTCTTAAAAAGAAAAGTCTTGCTGACATGTAGAACAGTGAGTTTTCGTTTTGTGAGTTAAAGCTGAGAACTGAGGATGTTCAGAGCAGAGACGGCCTCACCCCTTGTGTGGAAGGGATCTCACCCAGACGAAATGTGTTTCCAAACCGTGTAATGGCTCACTACGACTGAAGCTCTTCTTAATGTCAGAACTGCTGGTGGTTATTTGTTTCACTTGTTTTGGGTGGGATTTGTCAAGAAATAAAGACCTCACTCCCACCACATAAAGTCTACCGAATTGGTCAGACTCTAAGACACACGAACAAATGGAGAAAGTTTAGGAAAAATAAAATAGGCACTAGTAAGCTTTTTCCAGCTGCATTGGGAAAACACAAAAATGTTTTGCCAGGTATGTACCCTTTCCATGATGGCTTTCTTAGAAAAGCCAACTTCTTTTTTTTTTTTTTTTAAGGTTTTCACTGTAGGGCATGTGTGCGTACACTGGAGAGAGACAAAGGGAGGGAAAGTGAGAAATCACCTTATCACCTTCCCGGGGGATGACCAAGCCACAGTCTCTTCTCCATTCTCCTCCGGGGATTTGGGGCATACAGACACATGCACCCAGCGTGACTTTCAAGCTGCCAGGTCCAGGACTTGAACTGCAATTGGCCATGTGGGAATCCAGAGCCTAAGTACCATGCCACCTGCTGGCCCTGGAAAGCCAACAATCTACAGAAGCCCAAATCTGAACGTGGAAAACTAATGTAAATACATGGTGAAGACAATAGAAAATGTATTAAAATAGTTCACTACGGACCCAGCCTTGGCTGCACAATCTGTGGCAGGCTGGACTGCAGCACTGGAAACCACAGGGCTGACAGTGTTTCTTTTTTGTTTGGAGAGGTGTTTTTGCTATAGGGTGCATGCACTCGCCAGAAAGATAGACAGAAAGCAAGAAATCATCCCCCCAGGGGGGATGGCCACGCCACAATCCCTTCTCCTCCTTTCTCCTCTTGGGATCTTGGGGACATGTGCCCAGCATGAGTTTAAGCCACCGGGTCCAGGACTCGAACCACAGTCAGCTACATGGTAGTCCAGCGACAGGGCCATCGCCATCTGCCGATCCTGGGCTGACTGTGTTGCTAATCCTCAGGTCAATCTGAAAACACATAGGAGGCAGCACGAGTACCCACAATCCTGTGGAGCTAGAGGGCTGGGAAAGGGGATTGCAGTATGACGAGACCTTAGTGGGAGTGTTTCTCTCATGCAGACGCTCTATCCTAAAAAAATTATAACAGGAGCCAGTAGGTGGCATGGTGGATAAGGCATTGGATTTCCACATGGCTAACCATGGTGTGAGTCCTAAACCCGGCAGCTTGAAAATCACAACAAATAAATAGATAAAGAAATAGATCTTTAAAGTAGTAATAATAATAACATTCGCTCACTACATTAGGGAAATTTACAGGAAAAAAATCATAATTTTGTTAATAGATGCAAATCCGTTCATAAAATCACATTCCTTGCACACTCCATCAACTCTCCACATTCTTAGTGCCCTCCTCTACTTACAATGGAAAGACGATGTCCTCCACTGCTTCAAAGTGACAAGTTGTGATGAGGGTCTCTTTGAAATCTGTGAAGTTGACACGATAAATGTGTGATTCTTCGGTTCCTACAAAAAACTGGTGTCCTTCTCCTCGAAGCGTGATAGAAGTGATGCCCCCTTGTAACTGAATTTTCCTTTAAGGAGAAGCAAAAAGGTTAAGTAGGTTCACTTGACCAGCAAATATGTATCAACCAGCCCAAACATTACAGGTGATGCAGATCAGGCATATGATTTGAGATATGCCCTCAAGGAAGCCACATGGTTGGATAGGCATGAGCTCCTCATGCTGCTGTGGACCCGTGGTCAGCAACGGGGAGGTGAGCACAGGCTAACGTAGGCAAGAAATATTCATCAGGGAGATGTAGTGGGATGCACATGACAGGGTTTACACAGAAGGGACACTGCTGGCAGGCCTATGGATGCACATGACCATGACAACTACAAATTCCATTTCTAGAAATAATCCTAAAATCAGGGGGCAAAAAATTCTTTCGTCCTTTCTTTTTTTCTTTTCTTGGAGAGCTTTTTGCTATAGGGTGTGTGCACTCACCAGAGAGACAGACAGAAAGTGAAAAATCACCCCCCTCTCTCCCAGGAAGGATGGCCATGACGTAATCCCTTCTCTTCCATTCTCCTATCTCCCTCCTCTTCTCCTTTCTCCTCAGGATTTGTGTACACACACACACACACACACACACACACACACACCCAGGGTGAATTTCAAGCTTTCTGGTCTGGGACTTGAACCACAGTCGACCATGTGGGAGTCTAGTGATGTATCCATTATGCCATCTACTGTCCCAAATCCCTTTATTTCAAAGGATGCTATTGGGTCGCCAGTAAAGTTATCATTTTTTTTATGTTTTTCTATGCAAAAATGTGTCATGACTTTTCAGAAGACCCTACATTCTAATAGTATTTAAAAGTGAAAAGTTGGAAATAACCTAAATATTCAGTTGTAAAGGAATGGCTAAATGGTCTAGGGGCCATCGACTTCATGAAATATTTGCCTAGTCATTAAAATGTTTAATAAAAGGTTATGTGGAATATTATATTTTACTGCAATAATAAAAAGATTATGTAGTAATGTTAAAATAGTTTATGATGTTTGCATGAAGTAAAAAAATCAGAAAGCAAAATTTTATGGATAAAATAAACACAATGATTTAAAAATCTGTATAAAAAAATGAAGGCAAGAAGAAATAACAAAACGTTAAAAGTTGTTGTCTTTGCCAGAATATTCAGGGATTGTTTTTGCTTTTACACTTCAGATTTTCCCCTCCTCCCCAATGTTTAATAATTATAAATGTTAAAAAATAAGACTACATAAATGAGGGAACCAGCAGTTAGCGTAATGGCTATGTCACTGGACTCCCATGTAGTCGACCGTGGTTCGTGTCCCAGACCCGGTGGCTTAAAACTCACACCAGACACGTGTGTGTGCGTGCCCAAGATCCCGAGAGGAGAATGGAGGAGAAGGGATTGCGGCGTGACCATCCCCCCTGGGGGGTGATTTCTCGCTTTCTGTCTCTATGTCTCTCTCTGTCTGTCTGGCGAGCACATGCATCCTATAGTGAAAACCTCTCCAAAAAAAAAAAAGACTACATAAATGAGGGAACCAGCAGTTAGCGTAATGGCTATGTCACTGGACTCCCATGTAGTCGACCGTGGTTCGTGTCCCAGACCCGGTGGCTTAAAACTCACACCAGACACGTGTGTGTGCGTGCCCAAGATCCCGAGAGGAGAATGGAGGAGAAGGGATTGCGGCGTGACCATCCCCCCTGGGGGGTGATTTCTCGCTTTCTGTCTCTATGTCTCTCTCTGTCTGTCTGGCGAGCACATGCATCCTATAGTGAAAACCTCTCCAAAAAAAAAAAAAAGACTACATAAATGAAAGACACCGTAGGAATCCAGTCTTACTGTGTAATTCTTAAGAATTTAGAATATTAAGAATATTGGATAATAAGAATTCAGTAGGGGGGAGCAGCAGATGGCGTAATAGTTATGTTATTGGACTCCTATGTGGTCAACTGCAGTTCAAGTCCTAGACCAGGTGGCTTAAAAAACTCACCATGGGCATATGTGCAAGTGTGCCCAGGATCCCAAGAGGAGAGTGGAGAAAAAGGGATTGCGGTGTGGCCATCCCCCCTGGATGGTGATTTCTCACTTTCTGTCTCTCTGTCTCTCACAAGCGCACACGTCCTATAGCAAAAATCTCTCTTTAAAAAAAGAATTCAATAGGGATTCTTGGGCTAGCAGGTGGTGTTATGGTTATGGCCCACTGCACAGTGTGAGTCCCAGACCCACTGGCTTGAAAAACACACCAGGTGTATGAGCTTGTGTGCCCAAGATCCCAAGAGGAGAATGGAAGAGAAGGGACTGCAGTGTGGCTATTCCCCTAGGGGTGATTTCTCACTCTCTTTTTTTCCCTCTCTCTCTGTCTCTCTCAGGCAAGTGCATGCAACTCACCCTATACCCCCCCCCAAAAAAAAAATTAACGTAGGTTCTTGTGCAAGATCCCAAAAAAAAATTAACGTAGGTTCTTGTGCAAGAAGAGTATGAGAAATGCAGTTTTCTCAAGAGTTGAGTGTTGGTGAGACACAGAACAGCCAAGAAAGGACAGACCACAAGTCGTCTCCAGCTCCTTCACTAGTGACACTGTGACTCTGAGCAAGCTGCCAGGAATCCTGGGTCCAGTTTACCCAACCACAGAGAAACCCCTCTTCTCCAAGGTTGGAGAGAAAAGCTGGGAAAATGGGGTAGTGTGCTCTAACCCACAGAGGGCGGCCAGGAACTACTGACACTGGCATGTGGGCTTCCGAGAAGACAAGGCAAGGTCGAGGGGCTGGGACAAGGCCCGAGATCGTGGGCCTTCAGCAATTGTTTGGATTATCCCACTTGCCTTTCTGTTCTCTGTGACTTCTCACGTAAGCTTTCTCAGTCTACTGAATGCAAGGAGGCAGAAATCGCATCCACTCCGAGCTGACACTCACGAAGGTTATTACAGAAACCTTTACCATAAAGCTTGTAACCATTGTGTTGAATCTATCTTTACCGCAATGGGAACATTCGAACTTAAAAACAGGAGCCAGCAGGTAAGATTAAGGGGCCATCAGGTAGCATGGTGATAAGTATGCTGGACTCTCATGTGACCATGGTTCAAATCCTGCACCTGGGGGATCAGCAGTTAGCGTAATGGCTATGTCGCTGGACCCCCACGTAGTCGACCACGGTTTGCATCCTGGACCCAGTGGTTAAAAAAAAACTCATGCGTGCCCAAGATCCCGAGAGGAGTGTGGAGGATAAGGGACTACAGCGTGGCCATCCCCCCTGGGGGGGTGAGTTTTCGCTTTCTGTCTCTCTGCTTCTCTCTGTCTGGCAAGCGCACGCACCCTCCTATGGCAAAAACCTCTCTCAAAAAAAAAAAAACGCCTCAAAAAAAAAAAAAAAAAATCCTGCACCTGGCAGCTTGAAAATCACACCAAGACGTGTTTGTACATGTCCAAAATCTCAGGAGAAGAAATTGTGGCATGGCCAATCCCCTGAGGGGGGATACTTTCTTACTTTTCCTCTCTGTGTCTCTCTCCAGTGAGCATACGTGCCCTATGGCAAAAACCTTTAAAAAATTAAAATGAGGGTTAAAAAATTGGGGGGTTAAGGGCCAGATGTTGGCACAGTGGTAAAATGCATCACTGTTCAAGACTGACCCCATGGGTTCTCATCGGAAGGCCTCACTGAATATGCTGGGCACATGCTGCCCATGAGCAGGGGCAGGCTGAAGCAGGGGCCGGGGTGGGGGGTGGATTGTGGTGTCAAGAACCTATTGGAGGTGCTGTCTTTCCCTCTCTCTTATGGAAGAAAAAATTAAAAAAAAAAAAAAAAAGAACTTAAAGAAAAATGAGGGGATTGGCTCAGTCTCAGCTGCACACACTACTGAAATCTATGCTCTACAGGCTAGGACCACACCAGGTTCGATTCTTGGTTTAACCTAAAAGACTGGGCACGGTGGTGCATGCCTGTGGTCCCAGCAACTTGGTGAGGCTGCAGCATGAGGATCAGGAGGATCGTGAGATCCAGGCTGGCCTGGGCAACACAGCAGGACTCTGTCTAAACAGAAAGAGAAAACAAAGAACTGGTGGAACATACCGTAGTCCCAGGCAGCAGGCTAAGGCAGGAGGATCACAGAGATCTGTCTTTTTTTTTTATTTTGAAAGAGAGATTTTTGCTATGGGGTGTGTGCGTTCACTGGAAAGACAGAGAGAGACAGAGAGACAGGAAGCAAGAAATCACCCCCCAGGGGGAATGGTCACATCACAATCCATTCTCCCCTGCTCTCCTCTCGGGATTTTGAGCATGCATACACACATACCTGGCTTGAGTTTTAGCCTTCAGTTCCGGGATTCGAACTGTGATCAACTATGTGGGAGTCCAGTGATGTAAGCATAACGTCATCTACTAGTTCCTCTTTATTTTTTTAAATAGCAACTAGCACATTGGTATGAATGGAGGAGGAGGAGATGTTTAGTAAGTGTCTGTTATTGACGATGTATAACTTCTGTTTTTGTTTGTGTTTTGAGAGGTTTTTGGTATAGGGTGCATGCACTCACCAAAAAGACAGGGACAGAAAGCGAGAAATCACACCCCAGGGAAGATGGCCATGCCACAATCCCTTCTCTATTCTCCTCTCAGAATCTTGGGCACACATGCACACGCGCCCAGCATGAGTTTAAGCCACTGGGTCCAGGACTCGAACTGCGGTCGACTACGTGCGGTCCAGCAACATACCCATTGAGCCAACTGCTGGTCCCAACAATGTATAGGTTTTATTTCACTTTTTTTTTGGTACATGAACCATGAAAAGTCCCTGGCACAGTCCCTGGCACATGGAAATAGCTGATGGATGTTGGCTATTTGTATCAGAACCTGTACTCACACTGGGCAAGTGCGTGCCCATGATCGGGGCTGGCTGGGGGAATCATGGGGTAGAGACCCTGCTGGGTGTGGTCTCTCAGTCCATCTATATCTCTCTGTCTCTTTCACTCAGGAAAAAAGTAAATAAACTTTATAAGTACCTTTAAAAAAAAACTTATATTCAAACACATTAACACAGTGTCTCATACACATCACAGGGACCTATTACATAATACATTTCATGGAATAGATCAATTTTGAATGTTTAAAATTTGAGGTTATGTGAGGTACTTATAACATCGTATTTCCTTTGCCATGGCTAAATATGTTAGCTAAATAAAAACTTATGTACTTATTCAAAGGACAATGTCCTTCTGGGTAATAGTGGATTACTTTGGTTTCATTCAGTGTAAGCCTTTGACTTTTCATTGGCAAAGAACCCACCGTCAGCTGGGATTCCTACTCATTTTAATAGCAAGACGAAATTCTTTAACCCAATATCACTCTGCCCGTATTATTAAGTTGCTAGCTTTAAGCAAACCTCCTCCCATCCTGACTTGTGAGGCTGAGAACTTACTTGATGGTTTTGTAGCTGGGGCTTTTACAGAAGACCAGCAATCCAGCTCCAGAGCCCAACAACATATCCCCCATCTTCAGGCACCTGATGGCCGTCACTCCCTAGGGAGAGAAATAGCACTAAGAAAAAGGCTAGTGCGGGAACCAGCAGTTAGCGTAATGGCTATGTCGCTGGACTCCCACGTAGTTGACCGCGGCTCGTGTCCCGGACCTGGTGGCTTAAACTCATGCTGGGCACGTGTGTGTGCGTGCCCAAAATCCCAAGAGGAGACTGGAGGAGAAGGGATTGCGGCGTGACCATCCCCCCTGGGGGGGATTTCTCTCTTTCTGTCTCTATGTCTCTGTCTGTCTGGCGAGCGCACGCGCCCTACAGTGAAAATCTCTCCAAAAAAAGGCTAGGGGCCAGTAGATAGAGTATTGTTACGTTGCTGGCTCCCACACAAGCTGTGGTTCAAATCCCAGACCTGGCGGCTTAAAACTCATGGTGGGTGCATGTGTGTGCATGCCCAAAATCCCAAGAGGAGACTGGAGGAGAAGGGATTGCGGCGTGACCATCCCCCCTGGGGGGGATTTCTCTCTTTCTGTCTCTATGTCTCTGTCTGTCTGGCGAGCGCACGCGCCCTACAGTGAAAATCTCTCCAAAAAAAGGCTAGGGGCCAGTAGATAGAGTATTGTTACGTTGCTGGCTCCCACACAAGCTGTGGTTCAAATCCCAGACCTGGCGGCTTAAAACTCCTGTTGGGTGCATGTGTGTGCGTGCCCAAAATCCCAAGAGGAGACTGGAGGAGAAGGGATTGCAGTGTGACCATTTCCCCCTGGGGGGTTATTTCTCGCTTTCTGTCTCTCTGGTAAGCACACGTGCCCTATAGCAAACATCTCTCTCTTTAAAAAAAAAAAAAAAGCTAATGGTCTCATTCTTAAGAATCAGTGCAGGGCCAACAGATGGTGTTGTGGTTAAGGTATTGGACTCCCACATGGTCCACCATGGTTTCAGGCCCAGACCTGAAAATCACACCAGGTGCATGTACACGTGTGCTCAACATCCCAGGAGGATAGTGGAGGCGAGGGAATTGCGGTGTGGCTAACCCCCCTGTGGGAGGGATGGTGATTTCTCACTTTCCCTCTCATTGTCTCTCTCTGGTAAGTGCACGCACATGATGGCAAAAGCCTTAAAATAGACAAAACAAACAAAAACTCAATGTAAGACTGACCCAGTGAGCATGGCCATGCCAATGTTGCACACATCACCTAGGTGAAGTTCTCCAAGGCATTGCCCATGATACACCCCCAGGCTGGCCATGGGTACTTGCCAACAGTGAGCTCACGTGCCAGGAAGTAGCTCTCCTGGTCCCACGAGAAGCAAGCATGCTTGAGCATCCTCCCTCTTTAAATTACCCATGCATTTTGAATGAATTAAAAAATTAACACTTTTGGGAACCAACAGTTTGCGTAATGGCTATGTCGCTGGACTCCCACGTGTTTGACCGCGGTTCGCATCCTGGACCCGGTGGCTTAGAACTCACGCTGGGCGCGTGTGTATATGTGCCCAAGATCCCGAGAGGAGAATGGAGGAGAAGGGATTGCAGCATGACCATCCCCCCTGGGGGGTGATTTCTCACTTTCTGTCTCTCTGTCTCTCTCTGTCTGTCTGGCGAGCGCACACACCCTTTAGCAAAAACCTCTCCAAAAAATAAAAAATAAAAAAAAAAAGAAAATTAACACTTTTATATTCTCTCAAACGTAATCAGAGCACAGTGAGTGACCCCTGTCACAGTAACCTTAGCCCCTCAGTTGCCACCTGTTTTCACCAGAGTTTAGTTCTTTATATTTTTTAAGGAATTATTTATTTATTTAATTCCATTTGTTATTATTTTTAAAATTTTTTAAAAGAATTATTTTCTTTAACTTTATGTATTTAATTATTTATTTTAATTTGACCAGAGAGGGACAGAGTGAGAGAGAGAGGGAAAGTGAAAAAGCAAGTCACCAGGTCTAGGACTTGAAACATGGTCAGCCATGGTGGTCATCACTCCACCTGCTGGCATCCCATTATTCTTTAATTTGACCAGAGAGAGACAGAGAGAAAAAGGGAAAGGGAGAAAGCAAGCCACCAGGTCTGGGACTCGAACTGCGGTCAGCCAGCCATGTGGGAATCCAGTGCCTTTGACCACCACACCACCTGCCAGCCCCAAAAAGTTAGTTCTTACTAATGCAAATAAACCCTATTTAACATCATAAGAAAGCACAGAAGACTCTTTATTGTTTGATAACTATATTTTCTGAATTGAACATGTTGTACATCATCTTACCAATAGTAACATTTAAAATTCAGGGCCAGCAGGTGGTGTGGTGACTAAAGCATTGGACTCCCACACGGCCAACCATAGTTTGAGTCCTAGACCTGGTAGCTCACTTTCTCACTTCTTCTGTCTCTTTCTGTCTCTCTCTGGTAAGTGCATATGCCCTATAGCAAATTGGAAAAATAATAATGATGATGAATAAAATTAAATAAGTAATTCTTTTAAAAAATTCAAGATCGTCTTCAAATTTTAGGGATGTATGGTAATCATTTTATAGCATCCACTTCAAAGTTATCATGTTTAAGTGTGCATGATCAATATTTGATTTTAAGACAGTCAATAATGATACAGCTGATGACTTGATATTTTTGTGTCTTCACAAAGTTTGAATATTATAAGCCAAATATTCCATCTTTTGAGTTACTTTAAGTTGGCTTTAGCTTGTTCTAGCTCAAAGGGCATTTCATGATTGAGAAGAGAAACTAGGGCTGAAGAATGGAAGGTCTGGACCAGAACTTTATGTTCCCCTCTTCCACACCTCACCCCCAACTCCAGCAGTGTCATGGTGGGACAGTGAGATGAATGCTTGGCCTATGAGAAGATGCTAGAGTAAATATTCTTAGTATCTGTTCAAGGATTTGGAAAAACAAAGGTAAAGCGCCTCTAAGTTATCTGGGTCTTCAGTACATCGGGTTGTTGGAAAAGTCATGATGCATTTTCACATAGAAAAACATATGGTGACTTTTCTGATGACTCGGTAATGTAATCGAACTTTTTTGAGACAGTAGATGGTATTGAGTGCACGGATTTTGGGCCAATCTGCTGGGGTTGAAATTTCTGCTGGAAGGTGCTTCACACCACATCGGACACGTCGATATTTATTGAGCATGTACTGTTTGTTACTTCACAGTAGACTATTTTTAGAGTAGTTTTAGGTTCACAGGAAAATTAAGACGGTAAAGAGATCTCACAATATCTCTTTCCCCCACACAGGCAGAGCCCTTCCCATTATCGATATCCCCCAGAGGAGGAGATTTATCCAACTGATAAACTGACATCGACATCATTATCACACGAAGCCCATAGTGTGCTGTGCTGGTGGAGTACATTCTTCGGGTTCAGACAAATGAATAATGGCATGTACTGAGGCTGGCAGGTGACGTGGTGGTTAAGGTGCTGGATTTCTACATAGCTTAATAATAAGCCATTTATTTATTTTTTTTAATAACAAATAATTTAAATAAATAATAATTATTATTTGTTAATGGCATATACAGTGGCCGGCAGGTGGCGTGGTGGTTAAGGGCGCTGGATTCCCACATGGCCGACTGTGGTTCAAGTTCGGACCTGATGGCTTTGCTTTCTCACTTTTCCACTCTCTCTCTAGCTCTGTCTGATCAAATTAAAATAAGTAAATAAACAAAGTTAAATAAAATATTTTTAATGGCATGTACCTACCATTATAATGTCACACAAATACTATAAAAAACTCCTCACTGTCCTAACAATCCCGTTTCACCTACTCAGCCCACCTTCCCCACAACCTATGTCAAGCACTGATTATCGGCCCCAAGGTTTTGCCTTTTCCAGAATGTCATATAGTTGGAATCACAGTATGTAGCCTTTTCCGACTGTTTTCTTTTTCCACTTAATAATATGCATTTAAGTTCTCTCCATGTCTCTTCATGACTTGATAGCTCAGTTCACGTTAGCACAGAAGCATACTCAATTGTCTAGAAGTACAATAGTTAATCATTCACCTACAGAAGAACATCATGGTTGCTTCCAAGTCCTGGCAGTTATGAATAAGGCTTCTATAAACATTGAGTTGCAGGTTTTTGTGTGGGCATTTTTTTTTTTTTTTTAGAGGTTTTTGCTATAGGGCGTGTGCGCTCGCCAGACAGACAGAGAGAGACAGAGAGACAGAAAGCGAGGAATCACCCCCCAGGGGGGATGGTCACGCCGCAATCCCTTCTCCCCCATTCTCCTCTCGGGATCTTGGGCACGCACGCACACGCGCCCGGCGTGAGTTTCAAGCCACCGGGTCCGGGACGTGAACTGCGGTCGACTACGTGGGAGTCCAGCGACATAGCCATTATGCTAACTGCTGGTTCCCTGTGTGGATATGTTTTCAACTCATTCAAGGGTAAATACCAAAGAGTACAATTGCTGCCTTATATGTTAAGTGTATGTTTAATTTTGCAAGAAATCACCAAACTGTCTCCTGAAGTGACTATATTTTGCATTCCCACCAGCAACTAAAGAGAGTTCCTGTTGTTCCACCTCCTTGTCAGCATTTGGTTCTGAATTTCGGTCACTATAAAAAGCGTGTAGTTCTGGGTGCATGTGCGTGGATGCCCAAGATCCCGAGAGGAGAATGGAGGAGAAGGGATTGTGGCCATCCACCTTGGGAGGTGATTTCTCTCTTCCTGTCTCTCTGTCTTTCTGGTGAGTGCACGTGCCCTATAGCAAAAACCGCTCTAAAAAAAAAGTATGCAGTGAAGTCTCGTTGTTGCTTTAATATGCAATTTCCTGATGTCCTGATGGCCTATAAAGTAGAGCATCTTTTCATATGTTTATATTCCATATCTTCTTTGGGGGGGTGCCAATTAATGTTGTCGGTTTATTTTTTTAAAAGAAGAATTGTTTATTTAATTTTATTTATTATTATCATTTTGCTTTTGTTTTTGTTTTTAAACTTGCTATAGGGCACATGTGCTCACCAGAGAGGAGAGAGTAAGAAAGCAAGCTCCCAAGTCTGGGACTCAAACTGCAGTTGGCCATGTGGGAGTCTAGCCCCTT